AATAGTGTGCCATGATTGTCTTCCTTTTACATTTCAGTTTCTACACTAATACCTCCCATTATGTCCTTCAGACTTAATTTGCCACATTGGACTTAAACCTAAAAAAACCACAAATATATCTGCCACCTTCAACAGATATACAGTAGATGCACAGAGGATGGGGAAGGAAGGCAGGTTTCAGAAGCAAAAATCAAAAGAAACTGATGATACTGTAATAGACACAAAAGTACAGTAGAAAAAAAAGACTTAAAAGACATAATGTCATTATCTCAGGGTTTGAGGTTTCTTTGCTCACCTCTCCAGAAGCCGGCTCCACGGCCTTCAGCAGGTCAGACACGGCCCCGGCTAGTGTCCGGGCAGCCCTCATCAGATCATTACCTCCGCCAACATCATCCTCCATCAGCGCAGCCAACAGCTTCACACCCTTTGACATTTCTGTCAGGTTGGAGGAGATGGTGGTGATGGCGCAACCCACTGCGGTGTAGTCTGTGTCAGTTGGATCGCCTGAGTATGGGGAGAAAGGAAAGAGTTAGGAAGGGCCATCAGATAAATAGTCTTTTTCAAACAGAGCAGCATGATTGCTCTCCAGTGAGTCTTCTTAAGATTCACTGACTAGTGTAGATGGTCTATCCATTCAACCAAGAGTCATAAATATTTGCCTTTAATGGAGTAGAAACTGCATAAACACATCTGTCCATTTTAGAACAGGGAAATAAGCAGGAACAATTACAGAAATGTATCAATCAGAGTGGCACAGAGCCAATATTCACCAAACCAGAGCGGGACAAGAGGGAACTATTAGACTTTATACAGGATCTACAATGATGTGAATGAACACCAGGCTGACTTTAAAGTCACTAATTGACCTGATAATTTTAACTCTGCAGAAAATAACACCTCTAAAATGTACTTGTAAAACTGTGGGCACATGTCTTCACACTCTCACTGGTTTCATTAAGGATTCCTAAAAGGCTTATAATAAATCCCACAAAGGCTATGCCACAATGCAATGTAGCCCTGCTCCATGATCGAGACACTGATGTTAATTATTTCATTGCCAGTGAATTGCATTAAATCCAAGCCAGAACACATTCTGCTAAGTCATGCCAGTGCCACTGACCAGCTGTGAGGTTGACAACAGAGGCTGTTCCTGCAGTGATGGCGTCGACCTGGGAGTGGATCTCGTGTTTTGACTCGTCCATCTTGTTCTGGATCCACACCTTGGATGCCTAGGTACACAGAGGTAGACCACACCGAAATACATTACTTTGCAGGCAGAAAACGCACCTAAAAAGCAGCATCAGTTTTGATTTTGTTTTATGGCTGCTGCACATTATGTATATACATGCATAGATTTGGAGTATGTGAGGGTTTTATGTTAACCGTAGACACATGTTTGTGTGCTGTACAGTACCATGTCCTGTCCCAGTGGTGGCAGGTTGTCGACCTCCCCTAGATCAATCTGGGCCTTCTGCACTGCTTGCATACTGGTGTTGATGGTTCCCATCAGAGCCTGCTGGGCTGAACTCTACATGTGCAGGAAGATAAACAGGTCAATTTCTCACAGGATGCACCCTACAGTGATTTTTCAAGGAACCTTGCGGAGGGAAGATCATTGTCCCCCTGTGAAGCTTACTGTTAAGCATGTGTGTACAGGACTTTATCATTGAATAAAGTATACATTACACTGAGAGCCATTTTGCTGTTCTTACCAGTGGTGGCATGTGTCCACGGTGCATCTGACCCATTGTGATCTGCTGTTGAGCAGATGGCATGGTGCCCATGCTGAGCGACTCGGTGCCAATGGAGCCGGAGCGGATCACCCCAGGCAGCGCCACTGAGCCATGCTCCACCCGGCCTACACGATTAAACTGCTGCTGAAGGATGGTGGACCTGCAGGTACACAAATAGGCAGTCAATGCAGAATCTATAAACGTTAAAGGGTTAAGCGCTTGTCTTTAAAACCCCATGGTCTTCAAATGACGTCCTGTCTTAAGTTAAAGTAGAATGGTACACAGCGTGAAAAGAATTCTGAAGTTTTCCTTTAGAGAGTCAATCTGGCAAGTTACATTTATTTACAATACTTTAGATTCAAATCACACTGTCAAGTTTTCAACTCAAGCAGAGAAAATCTCAGTTAATGTGTGCTTGGTTGATAAAGCCTGAGAGTCACAGGAATCTATTTAACTGATCCAACTGCAGTGACTAGTGCAGGGAATGAAGGTTTTCCAAGCACGCCTGCCAATTTTGTTCATATACGCACAGTGGCCTTTATGACCAAATTGATTAATCATTATCCTCCCAGCCACTCAAATTACTTGCTCACAGATCTGAAAAAACCTGTGCCAAACACGATGGAGCATGATGAAAATGCCTCACCAAATGTAGAGAAGAGACCAGAACCAAGTAGGAACATAATATGGTTGTCTGGATGCAAATAAAACACCCTACAAAATATGCAGCCAAAGACATATTTTAAAGATATTTGTGAATATATTTACATCAACATGTTATGTTTTCTGTCCATAGTGTTTCCTGGTATTATTTTGCAACACATTATTCAATAGAATAATCAACAGAGGGAGAGAGCTAGTGGGAATGGGAATGGCATGAACTTTTACACTGCACTGAAAAACAGAACTTCCTGGCCCTTGGTCCCTTTTAATATTTATTCCCATCTATACATCACAGACCTCACTTGTCACCAAAATAATAACTTCCTTTGCGCTGCCACATTTGAATGACAAGCCCACCTTTGCTTACTTACAATAAAAGACTATAAATTAAAATAATATACAGAGACCAGAAGCACATTCAAAAAGGTAAGGAAAGTGCCAACTTGTTGTTTTACTCTTCCTCCAGTCACATACATGTATTGTATCTCTCATAGAGATGTAAAAAAAGGAAAATTAGACCAATTATTCTAACAATAAAGAGCATACACGTACATGTACGAACATGATGTACAGATGCATCCATAAATACACCATCAGCTGAAAGCAGAAGCCAAATAACAGTCCAAAATACAGCTGTAGTGTAGTTATATATCAGAGACAAGCTGAAACTGTAGCAAAACGCATGAAAACAAGGACACAAAGGAGGAAATAAACTCAACCAACTGAAGACAAAAAGAGAGCATGTTTCGGTTTCTTGGCTTTGTGTGCGAGTGTGTTTATGGTAGAGATTTAACACCAGGCAGCGTGGTTGTGTTCATTTGTGACAGTGGGCCACAAACACACAGCAGACTGACACTGCAGAGTCCCACTGTGTACTTCTGGAAGACAAAGCTTTGTTTTGTTTTTCCTCAGCGAAGGCCTTCCAGAGTTTGGCTTGCTGTGTGTTTGCAGTATTAAAGAGTTTTGCCTTCGGCCCCGCACACAAGCCCAGATAAAACAAAAGGGGGAGAAAATAAATTTATAATTGCAGCAAATACCCTCACAGTTGACAGCAGGATAGCAATATCAATTGAGGCTAGACAGGAAAAAAGGCTTCGGTTACCCACTGCGTATAAATGAGGTAATACACATCTAATCAGGAAATGTTCCGATAGAGCCTTTGCTTGTCCAGGGCAGCAGAATTTCCTCTCATAATGATTATCTCTCAGGATAAAGTCTGGCTAAGGAGGTGTTCATCTGGTGAAATTAGGTCCTGGAAGATGGATGTGTGAGCTGTGTTTGAGGGCGGTGTGAGAAGGAAATTGAAAAAGGACACAGTCTCATATTGTGTTTTGCCAAAATAATATGCAATAACTTCAAACCCTCACCACTGCACAGTTTATAGTGGACTATAACACAACAAAGCACTACAGGGATGATATGAGAACTACTGTAAGGATGTATCTATAGAGTTACAAGGTTGTTGCGCCGTAGCTTTATTTCCTTTTCTTGCCTTTGCAAAGCTTTCTCTATGTCAATATAGTGTACGGTTTAATACAGCATGGGTTAAAGCTGCAATTGGAAATGTCATAGAAAAAAAAAAATGTGTCCAAAAAGTTCCAACAACTTATTTTAAGTCATAATTTACTAATTTACATACTTTTTCGGGGATACGGATTCCTCAAGCATGGTGGACTCCTCATCACCTTCTAGTCCAAAACGGTCTTTGCTTTGCTTCTGCAGGAGAGAGAAAAAAATACATCAAATATTACCTTCAAAAAGGAGCCAGCAGTGTTTATTTAGAGAAGATACCCTGAGGCTATCTCTGGTGAATGTCAGATTTAGTGTTCCATAAAAAAACATGGGCCCAAATTTATAAAGCAACCTTTGGTCTCAGATTGACACATATTTAATTCTACTTTTAGGCTTTGAGTACACCTGATGAAGGCAATTTAAACTGAAATGTCCTATGAAATAAACAAGAGCAAAACAGTGTGTGGGAGTTTTTCCACGTTTATTGAAGTCGTATTGCCTTGACATACCTGTCAAACCTTCATTTGTGCAGAGATACAGTATCTTTTAGGCATTTTAAAGGGCATTAGGTGAAGAAATTGCATATTTGTGTCTTTCATAATTGAGGAAAGAAAGAATGGAGACCCAAGTATGATGCCTGCAGGGAATAACTGTTAATAAGACTTATTCCACTCATTCATTTTAAGTGACTTGAGGTCAGTGATTGCTAAACAACATGAGTTCTTACAGTGTGCCACATGAGCCCAGCTGTCCTGTGCTCGTTTTATTTATATAACTGCAGCTGTAGCCTGAATACATCAAGCATCAACAGATCTGAGACTTTATCTGCCACAGAAGGATATTGATTCTTATGATTCATCTGCGTCTCGAGAGATAAATGTCTCACCTTTTTGAGGATAATGTCGATGTAACCAGCAATGAGCTGAGAGATCTGTTCCCCTTCAGTGGTCTGCACCGAGTAGTAGCTCTCCTGGTACTCCCCAAAGTCCTACACACACACACACACACACCATCTTAACCATGTATTTTATACTGGACTTTAAGGAATGTAAATACTGCAGTGCTTGTACTCTACACAGGCTGAGGATTTACTGTGAGGATTAATGTGAATCCATGCAGACAGCTAGATTCAGATGAATACTACACATTGTGTTGGGTAAAATCAAACTGCTGCAACATACAGAGTCAGAAGAAGAAGAAGAAATCTGCTCCAAGAAGCATTTTGGCGCAGATTTTATGTAAGAAACTGAGTAGGAAAAAAATAATCTGGGAGATTTTGCTTTATAAAAAATTATTTAGAAAAAATAAGTAAGATATATGGGCCCACCATTCAATTTACAACAGAGAAACATATGACTCCTTCAACGTGTGAACGACCAATCAACCTTGAATCCATTTTAAGTCCCCGTGTCACAAAAACTCACAGCCTAAACCACAAAGCACTCTTCTGAATTAAGGTAGAGTGTGTTAATTTAATAGAGACAGTGCTTCTACCAGATCTGCAAGATTAAATCCATGTTGTTCATTGACTCTGGGTGCTGACACAAAGCAGGGATATTGACAGGGAAGACAAAAGAGCCTGTGCAGTAAGAGGGAATGAAAGGACAGGCAGACTGAGCACTACAGTGATTGTTTTATGGCCACTGCAGGGAACAGCTGGGTTCACTGAGCCTTCCTATTTACTACTAGAGATGTAACGCTCAGTGTGGAAAGAAGGAATAAAAGATAAAAAGGACAAAGACAGAAGTACCATAACCTTGCGATTTCTTGTGAAAAGATATATTCAGAACTGTTGCTTCTGTGACAAATCGTATCCAGTCAGAAGTTGTTGTTTTTTAAATCTTTGAGGTCAATGTAGAGTGTATGTGTCTCTTACCAGGGTGAAGCTCTTGGGTGATGCTGCCCACCTCTTCACAGTGGTAAGTGGCCACTCCTGAACCACATCTTTGGTCCTCTCGTCCACTCTCATCACAGACTCTTTGGTGATTCCCAGGAGCCGTGGCACCAACTTGTTCTTACTCTTCATCTTTTCCTGTAAATAACAGAAACTTTATTTAATACTTTCCAAACTGGACAAAAACACTGCCATTAAGCCAAAAACATTACAGCAAACAAATACTGAATCAAACTGGAGAACAGATTAACAGCACTTTGTAACGTCCTGTAGTCCTTTCCTAACCCAAGCATCATATTTTTTAAAAATATATTACAATTAGATCATTTTGCAACCATTGTTGGACAAAAAAATACCACACATACCATATTATGACTGCCAACACTAAACAGGTGTCAACCTACAATTTTAAGCTTTGGATAGAAATGTGACTGACAATTTGTTTGACATTTGACAATCTTAGTCTCAGTATTGGAGTATGAGGTTTTTATCTGCACTTTTTATATCACAGCACTGTGAGTTTTGTAATAAGTTAGTTTGACAAAGCACTGTGTAGCGCCTTTTTTCTGCCAGTTGAAAAAAAAAAACGTTTTTGTTTATCGCTTATCACATCTGCATTTCAGGAAATCAAAACTGCTTCACAACATCTGAAGGCTGGATTTTTCTCAAATAACTTGGCAGGAAAGGCAATTCAACATTTTAATCTGTTTAAATGAAGTAAACGTTATTTATTCTTCCTAATTTAAATACATTGAATTAAACTGTACACCAGCTATTGATTGGACCAGTAATGGTTACATTTGTAGACATTTTAGGTTTAAAACATATACTTTTCTTTTCATGATTTTTGGCTCTTTTGATGTCTGTTTTTATAGATTTATGTTGCACTGTAGGTTTTGCCAACACACACACGCTACTAATAGTATTAGCGATGCCTCAGAGAGTGGTCATTGGGCCTCTGAGTACTGCTACTGATCATAACACTGCCTGCAGAAGTAGTAGGACCATCATTAACCACCATAGTACTATCACTATTACTATTACATACTACTAGTACATAGTTTGACTGCTGGAGACCACGCAGTGCCCCCATTACACCCACTTTAATTGAAGTTTCATGTGTTTTAATGTCACTTTGGCTTTTCTCGCCTGTATTTGTAATTGCCACGTGTAGCGTCTCTGCTTTCCATTGTCTTATGTATACAGGAAACTTCACTGTCATTGGACCACATCGTATAGATATAGGTAGAATAAATACATGAAAGCAGATGATCAACCAGACACCAACCTCATGATGCGAAAAAAACATTTTACATGAAGTCAACTGTATTCCTTTCAGCGAACAATTCTGCCCCCATTAAGATTCTTTCATTTTCTTTGATTTTCATATCCCGCTGCCTACTGAGGGTATTACTTGAATAAAAAGGCATTTAGAGAAAAGCACAGATTAACAGTTCATGCAACAAAATTAAAATTCACAGGCCTAGCTGTTTGAAACTCTAATTTTGCTGTCACATCGATCTGCCAAGATGGGTATTCATCTGTCTAACCAGTGAAAAAAACATAAAACTCTTCCCAGTTAGTAATTAAAGCGTTAAGTCTTAATCATGTCTTAATCATGTCTTTATCTTCCTGTCAAAAACTCTCAACCTTCTCCTGTATTCACTAAGCCTCTAATGTCATACTCCAGTTGCTGTCTGAGCCCACAGAACTTATTTTCCTGCCACTTGCATGGAAAGAGAAAGCGTTTTTCTTTAGGATCTGCAGCCGGCGAGCAGATGGACGGACCGTGATGGACTGTGACGTGAGGGCAAAGAGGTGAGTTGTGTAAAAAGTCCTGGATGGCCTGTAAACTCTCTGGGGCCTCCAGGGGATTATGGGTTAGGGACTATAGGCTGTATTTTTTCCAAGGTTATTTTTAAGATGTTTCTGCTCCACTGAATTACACTCGAGGATGACGGAAATGACAAAGGTGAGCAGATAAGATGTCAAACTGATCAAGGGGAACACAGATCCAAGGCCAGGAGGTGGGATATGGTCTCAGATGTGTGTATTTTACACTGAAAAGGAATAAAGTGAAAGGTAGAGTGTGGACTGTGGAATATGTAAGCTACTGCAAATAAAGATTGGACGAGGAGAGATCCGATCTAATAGAGAGTTGTTTTTTTAATATCTGATCTAAGCCCTTATCCTCCAGTTCTCAAAGCTACTGATGAAAAGCCAGGAACTGTCTGGTAGAGAGCAGCACAAGGGACTTTTTTTCCCCAAGCAAACACCAGAAATGATCTCATTTTCTATGAGAGCTCAGCGATGAAGTTTGAAAAGGTGAAAACTGGAATGCAATTATTGATGCTGACACTGAAGTTTCCCATGACTTCATGCAGGCTGTCCACTAGGCAACAAATGATGTGAGGGGGAAAAAGTTATCTGTCACTCTTGTCATAGCAGTTACACTAGTGCTACAATTGGAAATCAGCCAATTGCTCCTTTCAGCAGGTATCTGCTGGACTTATTTGGGAGAGTTAAGTGTTCCAGGTTTTGCCTGTGCGATGTTTCCCTCATTCACTCCACTTCCTCCCCCACTCGCTCTGAAATAATCTTTAGTGCCACACTCGGCTGCACAGACACATTTGGTTTCCTTCCAGGAACACGCTGAACTCCCAGCAGACGAGGTGCTGCCGGTGTGTATTTGTATGTGCGTGTTAGTGAGTAAATGAAACAGAGACAGACATGTAAGAGATGTATGGGGGGAAATGAAATAGCTTTGTAATTTCTAACAAAATAGCTTCATAAAAGGTTGTTGAGTTTTTCAACACAGTTTAGTGTAAAAGGGGTTGAAAATGTTTTATTTTCCAATAAAGAAAATTATCTACTTTCAATTCATTTAATAATGTCAAAGACTATGTAAAAGCATAATCTATATAACTAAAGAAAATGTATTTTAGCTAATAAACAAGCAGTTGCTGTTACTTTGCATTTTTATGCAAGAAGGACCAAATTTGGCTTTGGGAGAGCAGCTTTATCATCCAGCACAGGTGCAAGAACATTCCCACTACAATCCACATTTTTTCCTTTCTTTTGAGTCTTGTTTTAAGGTTTTACCTTTTAACACTGAGCTGAATAAAAATACTATTAAAAAGGATTAAGGCTTTTCTTTCTAGCATTAATGTCATACAATGTTTTGTAATGACTATTTTTATCTTGAGTGATTTGAACAGTAGTAGTAGCATTTTCCATCTTGGTTTGGGTGACATGAGAAGCTCCAAAGGTTCAGGTGGACAAAAAATTTGCCCACCTGCTGGGTTCTGCCTTCAACCTCTTTATCCAAATTTCACACTCAGGAGATACAAGTCTCGGATTACGTTTCAAGCCATTTAAAAAAATCTGCATCCGCCCTTTTAAGTATTCTAATTTTTTTATTTTTTTTAAAAAGGAGAAAAGAATGGGCTAGATTTGTCAGTTTTTGGGGGTAAAAAACGTTTTACCACTTACCTTGACCAGGAAGAAGGAGACGCCATATGTCCGCAGAGACCGTGCCAGTTTGACGTATTTCACTTTTGCTTCAATCTCTGTCATCTCTCCACAGTTTTTGTGATCCTGTGGGTTGGAATAATTATGTATTCAGCATCTGAACAGTTGGTGCACAATTGTCAAATGAGCTGAATGTAAAACAATCAATATGTTGTTTTTCACCTGGAATATTTTCTTCTCAGCTCCTCTCTGCTTTATGTATTCTTTGGGTAGAAACTCCTTCAGGCTAAAAAGAAATAAAACATAGAAGAAGCTGAGATTCATACAGAAAACACAACCTAAGTTTTTTCTGCTAGCTACAGCCTTAAAAACATGATGAATTTGTAAACTCCTGGTGCGGAATTATGACGTAAATACAACTTTTTCATGAAAAGGTTAAATTCTTTTACTTTTAGTCAAATTGATGAAAATCAAATGCATTGTACACGTCATGTTTGGGAAACAATCTGTTTTCATTTTATTTAACATGATTCCATTTGGATCATCACCCTTCATCTTTGTACCACTGAGTAATCTTCTTGTGGGACAGAAACTTACTCTAAGAATCCAGGTTTGTGTTTATGCTCTATGTAAGGTCCAAACTGGATCTGGGCCTGGATGCCTCCGAACTCGCAGGCCTTGTCAAAAGATACGGGGTGAGAACCGTTTAGGATGTCATCTCGAGCCTGAAAGTCATAAGGACAACCTTTCATTAATTGGGATGTGCTGTCAACTCCAGTAAACATATCTGATTCAGCTAGAGGCAGAAAAACTGCACCAGAGTGCAGACTGGCAACTTCAGAGTGATGGGTCAGACCTGTACGTAAAGCAGATTGAGCTGGACAGGGTCTCGGGAGTCCACGTTCTGGTCGGAGTAGAAGAACTTGCGCCTGAGCAGAAGAGTCTCGTTCTCGTCCACCCCCTGCTCTCTGAACGTTCTGCTGTGGTCCAGCCAGTTCACTAACAACACAAGGTACAGCCACAAGGGTCAGATTATAAAAATAAACCCTTCTTTAAAAAGGCTGACAAATCTAAATATGAGTATCAGTTAATGATTTTATACAATAATCCAATCTGTGTGGTTACTCGGAAAGAAAAGGATTTAAAAGCAATGAGAGATTAAAAAAAAAAAGAAATCCTTGGAGGTTTGGGTGTTACTGATGATAGTTTTAAGAATTACCTTAGCCAGATTACATGACTACCAACTCCAAGCCATTCCTGTTAATCTAAAGGGTGGCTTCCCTCTCACCACAACTTCCAGATTCCAGTAGATATCACAGGCAGCTATTAAATGGACATCAAGTGGCCATTTTTCTGTTTAAAGAACATCACACTGAAGATTTTCATTTAAATAAATCTCTGTTAAACAATATCTATCTGTTAAAACACTTTATCGCCAAATGAGGTAACACAATAGTAATTAAAACTATGGCCCACTGATGGAAACCCTGGCATTATTGCAAGCATGGCAGTGTTACACACTGGGAGGTGGTGACATTCCTGGAAAAAAATGCTGTGTTATGTTACTTCTAATGCAAACCGAACACATTTCCTACTGCTGCAGCTTTACATTTAAAGCATTTAACTGGCGAAACATGAGTTGCCTTTTATTATGAAGTAGTTACAGTAAATGCAATGTGTTTGTCAGTGAGATTAGCAAGCATAACCGCTACCTTTCAAAAATAAAAATAATAAATACAACAGTTCCTTATGTTTGAAGTTATTTCGACAGAGTAAGTCTCTTACATTAGAACCTAACAGTATCGCCAAATAACAAGATGAGATCTTAAGGCATCGTCAACTGCAAGAGGACAAATTAATACCCATCAGGCAGACAACGGTTTTAGCATCAACAGCTTGTGAAGCAGTTGTATGAGCAGCATTACCACCCCTCCACTACCCCATCAGGATTGATGAATATAATTGTACTGAAACTCCACATCATCGTCGGTTACGTTGGCTTTCAGCTTCATTTTTCTCTCGGTCTCGCAGCAGCGTCTGTCTTTCTTCAACGTGCCCCACCCATCCCTCCTTCTTTTTCCTCACTGCTTCCGGATCAAGCAGAGTATTCCTCTAGTGTGTGCCTGCGAGATGAAAAAGGAAAAAATATTATGATCTACGATACCCACCGCGCAAGACAGTAAATATAAAACATTTTTACCATACCAAATAAAGACAAGTACAGTTAAAAATGGTGAACCTGTACAGCAAACTAAAAAAAAACTTAAAAAAAAAAAAAAAAAAACTTACTAAAACATGAAAAGGGCTAGTATAAGAAACCATGTACCATTCTACTTGCATATAGTCACAAGCAGCTCTCCCACTGCTTTTGGCTCCACCATGATGGTTTAACAGCCTCCATCCAACATTGATTTTCTGGCCTCTCTTCTTCTGTATCAAGTATATCCTAGTCCAAAGACAAAAAGTGAGAAAGAGAACAGAGAAAAAAAAGAGCCAAAAAGAAGAGAGAATGCCAGAATAAAATGCAAGAGAGAAAGAACGGAGAGAGCACTGAGGAAATGATCAAATGCCCAGGTTGCGTGGAGCGGCAGGGAGAATTATGCCAAAACCTACTAACGGCTGCCTATCACAGGGCCGCTGCTCCCCTCCAATCACAACAATGAAAGATTGGTCAAGAATAATTGGTCACAGTCATCTTTCTTACCTGGTGGCCCTTGTGGATTAAAGAGGAAAACCATTTAGGAGCTGCCAAAAACCAACCCACAGATGACTGGACGAGCGAGCACTACATGACAAACCAGCAGTCGCCTCGCGCCTTTGCAGCGGATCAGAGCCTGCAAAGATCTACAGCTGCTGCAGCACTTCTTAAAGTCACTTTTAAAACTTCCTTGATGTCCTGATTCCATTTATCCTGTGCTTTTATTCTTTCTCTTTCTGCCACTTTTACTCTGTAACCTAGTTTAGAGTAAACCATGTTCCTACAAACTGCTTGCCTTTAACCAACAATTATTTGAACAAATCAAATTTCATATTTTTTCCATCAAAAGTCACTGATCTATTAATGAAAAGCATCATATTGTACAAGTAGTGTATTAACTCTGTGTGCGTTGATTGTACTCGTTATTCACACATCTCTCTCCATAGTTTTTCGTGTGTTGTGTGTCTGTGTTGTGTGATGTGTTGGGTGTGTGTGTGTGTGTTGGTGGTGGTGTGGTTGTGTTGTGTGTGTGTGTGTGTGTTAAACAGGCTGATATATTTACCCCATTGCGGAGCATGTAGTAGTCCAGTGTCCTTCCAGACTCCAGCCAGATGCCTTTCCTGGGGTCTTCATCTGACAGAAACAGACCATAGTCTGAAGCTGGAGAAGTGAAGAGAGACATCATTACTTTAGAGACTGGGATGGAAGATATTCTCCTAGTCCTCCTGTCAGGTGGAAACAATCAAGTCGGAACATGCAACCTCCTTCAGATGACCTATATAACAGAACACAGGTCTTTATAGCTGGCAAGCTAAGATTGATTGGCATCCAATGTGTAGTTTAACATAAGTCTCAGTCAAGTCACATTAAGAATTTGTGACTCTACAAAAATGTCATATACAATATTATATATTAGAAAAGAAAGAAATAGAAACTTGAGGTAATTTTTGCTGTTCCTAAATATGTATTATAATGTTTTGTTATATTTATTGAACCCCATGTATTTACATTTGTTTTTGAGCAATTCACCAATTAGATGTATTGCCCTTAATCCCCGTTTCTTGTATACTTTACACCCCACCCAGTGTCCTTCCTGTGAAATGTCTTTTGATCATCCTCACCCTGTCCGGTCTGAGCCTCAGGGACCCTCTCTCTGATTATCCTACAGGCATCATAGACTGCCGTGGAGGGCTCGAACTGCATGGTCTTCACAACATTGCACTGGCGAATGCAGATTTTCAGCGACAACACCACCATCTTGGCAGGCGGTGTGGGCGGGGGCTGCAGCTACACCTGCGCAAAACAAGGACAGAGAGGGGAAGGACAGAGCAGATAGAGGTTGAGTCCAGGAGGTCCAAAACTTGAGCACAGTGATAAAACTCACTGACTGTGATAAATGAGCCAGATGTTGGAGGAGAAAAATGACTTTTCTGTTGCTACAGAGGGGTCGCATCCACTTTACACTCGGTCTGAAACACATTTCTCTTGCAAATGGGATTTTCAAAGACACTAAAAGTTACTTTAATCCACTGCGGCATCACTGCTATGCTTGATAAAACAGGTAACATCTTTTTTTTTATTCCCCCCTCAAAGCCTTTTTTCACTTCACGCATCTGTGCTTTCTTATAGTTAGGCCGTGCTGTTATGACACACAAATATACACACACACACAAAATGTCTTTCCCTTGAACTGTCATAAACAATGACATTTTATGAAAGAAAGAAAGTTCTAATTTGTGCACAGCAAAACCATTGTTATGCTTCATAAAACAAAAAGTGCCGACAACAAATTTATCACTTTTTGAAAACAGCCCATCTGGTCCCTGCTGGGGACAAAGAAAATACTCAATATTCTGGGCAAGAGACTTTTAAAAAGGTAAAATAAAGCAATAAAGCAACAAAGCTATCCACAACAAGTGGAACTGGAGAGGAAACTCCCAATGATCTTTTTTTCATATTAGATGTGTGAAACAAACCACTTCTTAACATCGCACTTCTGAAATCACTTCTGATGCCAGTGACCAAAACATCAACCACAGGTCTGAGCACACATTATCATCTTCACAGGTACAGAGGCAGCAAAGCAATTTCCAGCTTGTTATCTTCTCAAGATAAAATCAGTATGGATCCAACACTGTTAAACTAACAGCACACTCCATATTATCTTACCACATATAAAGTTAACCACAAACAAAGAATTATCCCTTGAATCTGCAGCTGCCCTCGGATTACGGAGCTTTACAGCGAGTTCCAGCTCATTGTTCCGCTGTGAGCCCAAAACTTGACTGTTTTGGTTAACACTCACCATTCTCATAGCGTCGCTTTGGGCCGCAGCAGGCAGCTGTTTTCAGTGACAAAGCTCTAAAACCCACTGCACACTATATGCTCAGCACCAAACAGCCAGCAGACACAGTTAGCAACTAGCTGGTGAACATAGTGGAGCATTTAGCAACAGGGCCAGATATTTTTCTCAGGAGCAAAAAGAGAGCTAATAGAGAGGGAATATTGGATATATATTTGCCAGGTGGCCAGAAACAAAACTCCAAATGAATGCTAATGTTGCTCCATAACTGCTTGATGTGTAAATAAGCTCTCTATATCAACCAAATGACTGAGGGTATGTCACTGTTGTGTTCACAGCTTTTTCCTGTTGCCCCCCCAAGTGGCAAAAAAAAAAAAATCTGTTATTTCAGGTTTAGATATGAATAAAAATACCCATAATTATGAAGCCTGCTTGTTTTTCAGATTCGGCACTGGTGCGTTTCACAGAGTAGGAGGAAGGAGGAGAAGAGAGCTTTGACCTCCCAAACAGAGCACCGCCTGTCTGGGACCAACGGGTCCACAGGGCTCCTCTGTGTCAGGGGGTCAGAGGTGAGACGTCAGTCTGGGCCATGGCTGAAGTAGGCGGGTGGCCCCTCACCTGCTCCGCTAGCCTCTGACCCTGACTCAGACGTTCAGAATCTGGTTCCTATGTGAGATGTGTTCGCATGCAGAAGTGAAGGTGTTTGTCTGGCTCACAATGTTGACACTCGTCTACAGTATCCTGAAGCCAACTGTGGTTAGAAGACAAGTAGATATTATTGAAGGATGTACGATAATTTGCCCAAATAGTTAAGCATTTATCTGAGGCAAATCTTTATTTCCTAAAAATAAATAATAATTTCTAAACATTTCTTTTTTGGGCTCAGTAACTGCTCCATTGGTGCACTACCTTTTATTGCAGCCCGTGAATTTGTCTCAGTTATTGCTTTGGGCTCCAACTCAATCAGTCAAGCACTTCCAGAAAACTCCGGTTGATAGTGGTTGGACCAGTGCCAAACTCTATCTTACCATCACTCACGCAGTCAGAGCCTGACTGAGCTTTAAGGACAAGCACCATCCTGAAACAGATATGAAAAATTATTCTAGTGATTCCGTAGTGTTCAACCTAACCTGTCAGAATGAAAAGGTCCCTCGAGGGAAGTATCATGACAGACAAAACTCCTAGGGATGCCCTTAAGAGAGGTGTTTCATTGAATAAAAGGCGATTTTGTGGAAACACTGACCGGGCTGAGGGAGATTTACAAGTATGGGAACACATTTTTTAAATACTATAAATCCTGTATCATTGTATGAATCCACAAAGCATCGCCATCTGGTTATGGGTGTTTTTCCCTCCTTTTCTGTTTTGATTAGATCATAGACTGGAGCCTCGGTGGTCTGGTTTATACCTTTGGGTCGTATTTGTTCGCCTCCACAAACAAACTGCAAAAACCACAGAAATAATGTGATATTCCTCTTTTAGACTGTAATCTCTGCAGCATCAGCCTCTACAATGGTCAGACACACAATGGTCAGACACACAGCAGGAAGAAGTGAAGAGATAAGGGGAAGCAATGAGGAAGGAGCATGATAAACTAATAACATGATGAAATGGTTATCAGTGGAACCACCAGCAGGCTCAGCAGGACTACAGACCATGAACTATAGAGAGAAAGCTATTTATGGCCGTATAACTACAAACACAGAAATCACTTTTCGATTTTAACTGTATGCCACATCATGGTCAACATCTTTAATTTGACTTTGAATCTTTGCTTGCAATCCACCGCACCCTGAGGCGCCTTTTCATTTCACTGTAACACCATTTGTAATAAGAAACCAGCAGGTCTATAATGCTCAGGTTTAATGGATATTTGACTTGGTTTTTTTTTATGCAACTGTGTCCTTTCACCACATCTAAGCTATGTAAAGCGCTTACTGAATAACAATTGATTTGAAGCATGTTAATAGAATGAACAATGAAGTGGTACAGCTGACAATGCAAAAGTGGATGCAAAAAGCAGCATTCATTCATAATTTGTTCTATTTCACGTAAGTGTGTTGCTGCGACATTTATTTATGTACTACAATGAAATTCAATAATTGTGTTCCATGGTGTAATAGTGTAATTCAGTCTGTAGTAATACAATATTTTAAATGTTTGGGCTCTGTGCTTTAAGGCTTAGATAAATAACAATAAAGCAAATGTGCTTCTGCATCAATGTTGAAATAAATATAAAAACTATTAGCTCAGGTAACCAATTTGACCATGAACCCCACCTAAGGGCCCTACAGGCCATTGTTAAATGTTAGTCTCAACTATGCAGTTGAAAAAAAAATGTGTCCGATGTTGCGACTCCTGATAGCCCACCACTCTCTGCCTAACTGCAACTGGGTATTGGGGGCCCAAGTAAAAACAATAATTTAAATCAGATCACACAATCATTTTCAATCCTAGCAGTAATATGAAAATTGGTTATGTTACATCACATGGCTTATTTATCCTACCTTAAACCATGTTGAGCCTTGATGTGACTCACCTGTGAATTATAATTCATTTTACTGCACACAAACAACGCATTGATATAAGGGCTCAGTTGTTTCATACACAAATAGTTTCTTCAACTTATTTAACATGAAACTTTTCATCTAATTAATCTAATTAAATACAAATAACATGAAACAAAGCTAATTATGAGCTTGATTGTGAGCATGACACTCTAATAAAGCCAATTTTAAAAACTGAAGGTCGATTTCTCCTTCATCCTGCATCAAGACAAAGCTCCAAGCCTCCATCCAGGCTGGATTACCACCAAAGCATCCTATTATACATTTTCCCTTCCCTGCGATGAGAAAGGACTTGCCGAGATCAAATGTGATCGTAAAGCCCCCAAAACACTTGAGTACAACCAACTCATTAGGCTGATACCAAATCCAGTGTGGGAATAAGGCTCCAGTGTGCATACACCAGTAACAAACCCACCTTAGGAATCATGTATGGACCTAATGCAATTTAACAGATAGCTCTCACCATTTAAAACTTCAGGATCTATAAGGATACTGTTAACAGAGGTGAACCAATGTCATCTCTACCATCAGTATCAGCACAATAAACAGGTCCTTTGTCTAGCATGCTAACATTTGCTAATTAGCACTGAACACAAGTACAGCTTTGATCTGATGACGGCACTAGAAGAAAAGTTAAAGAATCACTGAAGTTATCGAAAGTCACCCAGAATGAATGTCTCATCTGAACCATAATTCATGCCAATCTATCCAATAGTTGTCGACATATTTCCCTCAAAGAGACAACGGTGAACTTCATGGTGGTGCAAGAGGAAAGGTCAGGAGACACCAAAGTAATTAAGGGTCACCATTTGGGAATCATGAATGTCATCCATCAATTGTTGTGGAGATATTAAGTCTGGGCCTAAGTGGTGCCATTTTTAGCCATGCCACTAGCAATTATATTTGAACGGCATATTGTTAGTCATACTCAAATCATCATGGGAAATGTTGAATGGAAAAATGCCTTTAATCCAATAACTTAATATACAAAAACAGGCTCCATTATCAAATCCTGGACTTGGCATTTTATGGGCTTAACAGCCTGTTTGGGTCTATTAAGACTAATATGTTGATAAAATTACAACAAGAAATTTTAGAAGTACAATTTTAAACTGCAAGGAACAAATAAAGCCAGCAGAAACACTCCATGAGAGGCTGATGACAAACTTGCAACTTGATTTCCACTTGATAAGATGAAGAGCTGTATTTTCAGTGACGACGGCAGTCTAGTCTCACCTCCAGCAACCTGCTACATCCCTCTTGTCTTCAGCTCTCTCTATGCTGCTAATTCCACCTGGATGCAGGCCCATCTGTTTGCCTGCATGCCTTATTGATCAGCCCGCTGTATCTGACTGCACTCATCCACCTGCTGCACCAGGCTGCCATCAGTCGGGCTAATTTACTTGCCTTTCTTTCAGCTCTGT